TAACTCTTTCCTGACTGAATCCAACCACTCTTTCATAACTTACTGAAGCAAACCCACAAAATATTAGAGCATATTTTGTACTGAAAAAGGTACCACAGCTCTTACAAAATAAAGGCCATGGGTTTGAGCGTTCAGTAAAACTGCTGGCACAGGCTACTACCCTGGTTTGCATCCCATAAGACGACTTACAGAGGACAAGAGTGTGCTGATTAGATAAGTTATAGTTCTTGGACAACAGAAGAAGAACAACACAACAAAACACAGCGATTAATCTGCAGTTTAGCAGTTACTGTACCTCCAATACATCATTAGTGATGAGGCTGTTCACTCTGTTACTTGGGTCCTTAAATTCTTCTTTAAGTTCATTTTCCTCAATCTTCTTCTTAGTTCGGTAGTTTAGCTAAAGCAAGAGACATTGCTTTCTAAGCTAAAAGCAAACCTAAACCGGCACCTCCCCTTAAAATTCTCCCTGCATATCCAACCACCAAGAGATGCTGAAAGGCATAAAACCATCTCATCAACAAGGGCATGCAACTTTACTGTCGAGTGCTGAGTCACCGCTTTTCAAAAATTATTCCCTAGTCAAGAATTTAATCCAGCACCCAGATTCAAGAGTATGACATTTCCACAAACTATAAGATGTCTCAAACCTACTAAGAACATTAGATACTGAAAAAATACTTTCAGGTGAGAAGCATGCTACATTCCAACATCCTCTAAGCTTTATGTCACATACATAATGCACACTACATTTCAACAGAGCCTCAAAGCTAAACTAAATACATGAGTGTTGGTGAACTGTCAGCTATTGAAAGCTGAAGATATTTTATTGAAAATGGTAAGTCATTAAGGTAATAACTCACTAGCTTTGGCATTGCTGTGAAATGGAATGCTCGAGCAAGTCGCAGTGTCCTAAAGATATATGCTGCGTCATAATGCTGGGAGTCTATCAGATCCTGTTGAAATCTCTGGATTTCAGGCCAATCCTTGAGTGCAATTCTGATCTGCAACAAAACAGTTGTATTTTGTCACACTGACCTGCATATTTCAACAAAAAAATTCACACGATTACTGCCATCATGTTATACTATGCGCAGTACTGCAGGGGCCTACAAGGAAGCTGGGAGAGGACTTTTTACAAGGGCCTGTAGTGACAGGACAAGGGGTAATGGGTTTAAACTGAAAGTGGGGAGGTTTAGATTAGATCTCAGGAAGAAGTTCTTCATGGAGAGGGTGGGGAAGGCACTGGAACAGGTTGCTCAGGGAAGCTGTGGATGTCTCATCCCTGGAAGTGTTCAAGGCCAGGCTGGATGAGGCTTTAAGCAGCCTGGTCTAGTGGAAGGTGTCCCTGCCCATGGCAGGGGGGCTGGAACTGGATGGTCTTTAAGGTCCCTTCCAACCCAAACCATTCTATGATTCTTTATTAATTCCTGGGCTCTCTTAACAGTTGCTATCTAGCAGTGGTTTTAAAATTCCCTAAATTCATCTCTATAAAAGGCACTGACTACTTTCAAGTTAAGATATGAGATGTAATGGCATCAGTGTAGAATACTTAAAATTCAGTTTCTTATTTAAAGAATTTGGACTGAGTTTTGCATATGCATACAACATACATCACAGTTTCCAAGCAATACACTTCTTGCACTGAGCTTCCAAGTCCTTCATACTGGTCTTCTGTCCTAACAGCATCAAGGAGACAGGTCATACAGGCACTCACCCTTTCAACCCATTTACAAATTCCACTTCCGATTAACAGGAACTGGAAATAATTCAGCCAGTCTTCATTCTGTTGAAGTTCTAAGGAATAACTGAGGCTGTAATGGCGTTCTCCCCACAGCTGATGAGCACATTCTCTGCTCTCACTTAAAGCTAGCTGTCTTAATTTCTGAAGAGATAAAACCTTTCTACCTGGCATACGAGAATTCTGAGACTGCAGCTACAATTTAGGAGGCATAAACAACACGGTAGTCACCAACACTTAATGTCTCAAAACCAAAGCTGTTTGAAAGGCTACCTTTTCCAAAGGGACCACCTGGTTCTAAATATTTTTTATTTTAGGAAAGTGAGAGGAAATGCCCTACCCATTTATAATGACAAAGACGACAGAGGTATACCATATATCTCTCTTAAGAATAAAACCTCAGGAACAATTACCTTTTGTTTTGGCTGGCAGAGCTGTGTGCTGTAGAGTCCATACAAAAGGTACAGAGCACCAACTCGAATCTGGAAAGCATACGGGGGTAAGAAGTATTGCTGCGCCAGTTCTAAAGTCTTCTTTGTGAGCTTATTCCTCTCCAAAGCTCTTATTCTACCACTAAAGTAAACAAAAAGGAAGCATGTTAAAGCAAGCAATGATGAAAGTGCAAGATTTAGAAAAATTAAAAATAAATAAATAAGATTTAGGTATTTTAAAACATATTACCATAGGTCTCAAGTTCTAGGAAGCCTTCAAAGATGGCCAGATCTTAAGCTCTCACACAACACTTCATGTCATTCCTTGTATTAAACTAGATGTTAAGTGAGAAACGAAATACCCTAATTTAATCTCCTATCAGGTTCATCAAACTCCCTGAAGCGCCAGTGTCCAAGTCACACACGTAACGTACAAAATAAGCTGAGCTAATAACTGGTTTTCAGTATTACACAGGGACCGATGCTGGACTGCTATTCACCTGCACACAAGCAACCCTTTCCCAAAACTACGCCTGAAGGACAACTCGGCTCACCGATACCCCTCTTAAGGTCCCCGCACTACGGAGGGACAAGCTCAGCGGAGGGGAGCTGAGGGTTTGGGAGGGGGAAGACAACCCTCCGAGGAGAGGCACAGCCGCCGAGCACCGCGCAGAGACGCGAACGGGCGGCCGCACACGGTGTCTT